ACTCACTCACTCTCGCATGCATTGCTCTCTTCCTTAACTCACTTAACGCCGGATCCCATGGATCGTTGATCGAATTGGGATCGTCCTCTCTCGTTATTATCTCCGATAACGTCCAACCACCGATCCCCTCCCTCCTCCGCCGCGAGAACACGCGGCAATTTCGAATCGACCACGCGAGACAAATGAGAAGGCCGGTGAGAAGAAAGGGGAGGGGAGAAGGAGGAAGAGAAAAGTGTCGGCGAAATACCCTCCCTCCCTCCATCCATCCATCCATCCATCCACCGAGAAAGTAAAGAAAGGAGAGGAGAAAGGTGTGCGTTGCGCGGGCGACCGAGCCTTTTTTTTTTTTTTTTTTTTTCGAAAGAAGAGAAGAGACGAGAGCAAGATTTTCCTTAATAATAGCCGTTGTTAGCGCCACTTGGCGTAAACATTCTCGTTTACCGAGAGAGCAACCGAGAGAGATAGAGAGAGACGGACGACCTATTCTTTAACCATCCCCTGCGGCAACCGATCCCTTCCTTTCCCCTCCCCACCTCTCCCCTTCACGCTCCTTTTATTTTTCCTCCGCTCGGTCACCTTCGCCCCCTCCTCCCCCACCTCTCCCTCACGGATTCTCGGCCAATTTGTTTCTCATCCGCTCATCCACGCGGGGAAGAGAAAGGGGAGGGGAGGGGAAGGGAGGGGAGGGCGAAATTCAATTTTTTCCCGCCCATTGTCCCCGAGAACCGGGAACCGGAAGAAAAAGATATCGAGCAGTCCTCGAAGGAAGGAAACGAGTTTTCCAACTATCCAATCGGATTCGTCTATTTCTACTATCTCGTCTTTCGAATCGATCGAAGAAGATATCGATCGAACGGGAGCGAAAACGAATCGATCGAATCGAAAGCGTCGGCGGGAGAAAAGGGGGAGGGAGGAAGGGAAAAAGGTGGAAAGGATTTTCGTTCGACGAAATCGAGTCTCGTCCTTTTTATTTTTTTTTTGCAAACGCCAAACCTCTTCTCCCCCTCCATTCCCTCTCCTGTTGCTGTTTTCACTTCTCCGACTGACTCTGTCCAACGAATGGGAACGATTCGCTTTTTATCGGGCGAGCATCCAGACGCGATCCAATTTCGCTCGCTTCACCACCATTGTTCACGCCTTTCGAAAATCTATCCAATCGTCGCAACCGTGCCCTCTCCCCGCCTCCGTCGGTACATCGCCCATCGTTACCCGGCCGCTCTTTTTGAGAATCCGCGGGGATCGAGAATCAAAAATCCGAAGTTACTCGCTTGT